GGTTTTCCCCTTCTATGGGTATGGGAGCACTTGGCAGACCACCTCTTCACTGACACATAAATCCACAAAGTTATGTGAGGAATAGTTGTCGCATTCACGGTCTCTTCGCTGGAGCATAAACCTCAAGTTTATGGTAGGAAGAGTTTAGCCAATCAGAAGGAAACAGTGGAGTACTGGTCAGTCAGCGCAGCAGTGACGTAAGAATGACGTCGACGAGTGTGGCAGCTTCAGCTAACACGGGCCAGGTCTTTCCACCCTTGCCAGCTATTATCAGCGGGCCTATAACACTCGCCACGCTCCCAAACGCTAGCTAGGCAAAACGAATACTATAACGTTAGGAAACCACTGTCACTCTAACAGAACACTGATTAAACACTTGTCTCATATCTTAGGGCCGTAGCCCACTTCTAGAATGTGGAGGACTCTGTGGGAGATCAGTAAAACGTGGTAAAGGGAACAGTGAAAATTATGAAAATTAATTAATTAATTAGCATATGTTCAGTCTTAAAATGCCTAGCAAATTACGGAGCAGGCAATAAGTCCAGCAGCTATCTCAATCAATCGTCAGTTATGGAAAGAGCGGGTTCCAAAGGCCGGATCCCTTGTGAATCAAGTCACGAAAAGTTCAAGAATCGGCAACAGGCCATGGGCCTATGTCTTCAACGCCGACACTTCTATTCTATAGTTCAACCCTGAGAATATCTTTCCTGACTCGCAGCTCGCTTTTTCTCCCGGTTGCCACTACCGTTTTCGTTTTAGCATCGGGGTAAAAAAACTATTTAAAAGCTGTTTATGAAATTGAATTCTTCCTGTTTCAGATCCAAAAAGCATCTGAATGCTTCATATCTACATTAAGATAGGCGAAGAACCAGTAGCTTTAGCCTGCACTCGCCACTTGATTTTCTCACAGATGAGTCATAGTGCAAGACCTTCAACATCAAGTCTAATACGAAGTTATGCTAATTAGAACGATGTTCCTAGTGAACAATATGCATTCTCGATAATGTTCAAATGGTTATTGGCCATCTGTGGTCAGATGTCTCCTGCCTCTTAAATGCATTTAAGGAATCCACTGATGACCAAGGGCTTCATTTACTGATTTAGGCATTCTATCATGATTGATGCATTGATTATGTAAATGATGAGTCAATGAGTTCAAACATACCATAGTGCGCAGTTATGTAAACGAAGACCAACTCCATTCTTTGGGGTAACGTTTTCTATTTTAGGGTAACTTTCTTGTAATCCTAGTGTGAATGAGAACGCCGAGGACGCGATTCACAAGAACTAACGAAGTTTCTCAGTGTTGTTGCTGGGCTGATTGATGTGTTAGATTGCTAAGAGTCACCGAAATGGAAAAACGTATCGAACTCGAGAGACGTGGGAGAAGCCCTTCTAAAGTAAGTAAAAAAAGAATGTCAATCTATTTTTACTCTGAATTTAAATATTGATTTTCGAGAAGAGAAGTGTGATTTAAGGCTAAATAAAAGATTTGAATTGATCGTTAGGACTTAGTAGTTAGTAGTGATTTCCCAACGCTTCCGGCAGCTTTCCTTGGCAGACGCATGTCGCACGTAAAATTTGAAATTATTCATAGAAATGATCACATCAGTTACAGTAACTATTCTTGGGTAAGAATCGAACAAATTTACGGCCACCTTTCTCGCCGTTTAGGTTTTCGATCGATATTACAGAACGTTATTTACAAAAAAAAAAAAATGGTGAATCGTTTCTCTCTGACCTAAGAGTAAGTTGCATCATTGCTTGCATGCCCGTGAGTCGTGATGATCCAGATCACAAGTCCTGAAGCTACCTAACTCAGCCCAAGGTTTTTGCAAACATTCTACCTACTAGGTACCTAGTACTTGTAAAACCATTAATGAGACATAAATAAATAGCCTATTCGAATAATATTTTAGTCTTTGCATCTTACAAAATTCTTATTATTCTGGGACAATTTTTTTCTAATTAAAGACCACACAAGGGATGAAACTGAAAGCTATGTTGTTGAATTTATGTAGTATCATACAGGCCTGATGTGTGATTTTTTTGTTTGTTTGAAATACTTTTACTTTCTATTAAGTTTATAGTTCAAAAATCACTTGGCTTGGAGTTGGAGCCATTGGTCATCGGAATTAGCTATTTAATTCTAAAATGTATATAATTTATTTAGTGAGAAAATTTTACAATTCTTGGAGATCTGATTTACTATTAATATTTTAAATTAAATTGTGCAGTGCAGTTAATTTCTAAAAATTGAATTATTTTTCTAGATAAGATTTTCTTCTACTATTTGTTACTCAGCAAAGCTAATTTTGCCATTTTGCAGTTAGGCCTACCTATATTATTATTGGTAGGAAAGTGGGTTTTGGCTAAAAAATTTATTTATGTATTTTTTAAAATGAAGGCACAATTCTTGAATTAAACTCAGTTTGTTAGGGTGGTAAGAAATAACCCTGTGATTTAATAGTTCAGTCAACAATTTATAGCAATAAAAATCCAGATGTCAATAATGTATGTTTGTATATATTTGTTAGATCTATATTATCAATTCCAAATTTTAACCAGTAAGATTTATGTTATGTAAATTATTTAATATTTGTTAAAAAATCATGAGTACCTTACCAGCCGCAAAATTTCAAATTGAACCAAAATCTGTGCTTGTGAAGCTGTGAAGTTTTTGCAAAAAGTTAACCATTTATGAGCTTTACCTGGAATATCATAGACAAGCATTACTGAACAATTTATTAATAAATTAAGCGAAGTTAATCAATTCTATCAATATTACAGATTGAAGAGCTCAACTTGGACAACTGCAAGAGTGCATCAGTGATTGGTCTCTCAGAAGAATGGTCAAGCCTGCAGAGTCTCAGTCTCATCAATGTTGGTCTCACATCTCTCAAAGTAAGTTCAATTGCAACTTATAATATCAATATATATAATATATATATATATATATAAGATACTTGCCATATATCCTGAATATATTTGTTCCGTGTTTTGCAGAAATAGAACTCCTTCTTTAGTACCACTGTCACCTAATTTGGTTAATAACAATTTGGTTAATTTTATATTATTAAATATATTTTTTACTCGATTTTATTGTATATCAGTTTTTAATCCTGTGTTTGTGAAGTCTTGAATCACATATCATTGTTAGTGTCCAGTATTTGTTTGATTTGCAAATTAAATTGCATTAAAAATTAAATCTAAATGACAGTGAAACATTCTACCACAATATTCCCCATGCTTAGGGTTATAGCAACTAAATATTGGTTATTTTCAGTCATTTCCAGCCCTGGATTCACTGAAGAAGCTGGAGCTCTCTGACAATTGGATCAGTGGAGGCTTAGAAGCTCTCACATGCCTTCCCAAACTCAAGTACCTCAACCTCTCTGGCAATAAAATTACCAACATTGACACCCTCAAACCCCTAGTGAGTTAACTGTCATGGTATTTATTACTGCTAAGGTTAATCTTAATCAAGCTCTTGTGCAATAAATTACAACATTGACACCCTCAAACCCCTAGTGAGTTCACTGTCATGGTATTTATTACTGCTGAGGGTTATCAGAATCAAGCTCTTGTGCAATAAAATTGCCAACATTGACACCCTCAAACCCCTAGTGAGTTGACTGCCATGGTATTTATCACTGCTGAGGTTAATCAGAATCAACCTCTTGTGCAATAAATTGCCAACATTGACACCCTCAAACCCCTAGTGAGTTGACTGCCTTGGTCTTATTACTGCTGAGGGTAATCAGAATCAAGCTCTTGTGCAATAACATTACCAACATTGACACCCTTAAACCCCTAGTGAGTTTACCAGCTTATTTTATCACAGCAAAAATTTGATAAATTATTGTTGCAAAATATATTTTACTGCACAAGATTTTAGTCAGCTTTCAACTTGAAATACCATTTATACCTAAGAATGCTTTAAATTAAAGCATAGATGTGCACTAAATTATTTACTTGGCATGTGTTTTGGTATGAATTTATTGGTGTGAGAAAATTCATATTTCTTTCAATTAGAAAAATAATGCCAATGCAAACAATTGCACAAATTTCTAGTATGTTTCTCATAACTAGTTGACCAAAGAGATAGAATTGTAACAGCCCTAATGACATCTTTCAGTTTGCCTTAATGATATTATTGCAATTAACTCTAAATTTCTTGCCTATTGTGGTATAATATTTTTCAACTCCAACAGAAAAGCATCAGCTCTCTGGTTACACTAGACCTCTTCAACTGCGATGTCGTCAATGTAGAGGACTACAGAAATAAAGTTTTTGACCTGATCCCCTCACTCGTATACCTCGATGGCTTTGACAGAGAGGGAAATGAATTAGATGGTAAGTATTGCATGCGTCATCAGATGCACCCAAGTATATTGCATGTGTCATCAGATGCACGCAAGTATATTACATGCATCATCAGATGCACGCAAGTATTGCCTGTGTCATCCAATGTATTCAAATATTGTATACCTACATCACCAGATGCATGCAAGTATTGTATGCATCATCAGTGCGCGCAAGTATTGTACGTGTCATCTGATTCTCAGCTTGAGCCTTATACGTGATGGGTGGGTTGCCGGCATCAGAAACCTGGCCATGAGGAGCAGTTTTCTTAGCATCCGCAAATGCATTAAAATTGCTGGTAGTTTCTTTAGGCCAGTGAAGCCAGTTGGGAAAAAGCTGCCTACTAAACACTGCTTACCAATTTCATGACAAAACATCCATCTTTGCACCATGGCACATCAGAAATCTTTGTGTTAGCGATCCCAGGGCTTTTGTCTTATAGGAACCTACTCCAAGTATTTATATCCTTAGTCTGCCTAAATCTCAAGTTGGTCATGAATTTAAAAGCAAAGAAAGCACTTCTTTGTGTGGTAACTGGAATAATTTTTTTTTATTATTACTTCAATATACCTCTTTATTTGTGGTATATGTTCATAAACGTATAAGTAAATTTAAAAGAAAACACATTGTAAGTCTGTTCGTATTAAATGTTTTTAAAATCTGTGAATGTTTTTTTTTTTGTAATAGCAGGTTCGTCACCGTCATGATTCAGCTTTCATATTAATGTTTTTTCAACTAAAAAATATTAAATTTGTCCTGAGTAAATGCTTTTTATTACTTATTAAGCTATGCTACTTATGCTGTTTGTTAATTCTACTTTTGTTTGTGCGAGCAAATGATGCATTTATAATGTTAATTAAATTTTGTTAACAATATCAATTATTTTATGAAATCAGATGAAGATGACGAAGATGACACAGCAGCGAATGTACGAGAAGATGGCGACGAAGAAGGAGAAGAGCTTGATGAAGAAGAGGACGTTGATGACGAGGATGAAGAAGATGATGATGAAGAGGATGAGGAGGGAGACGATGATGAAGAGTTCGTGCCTCTCGATGCCATCTACAAGAATTATGACCCAGTGCGTGGACGTTTTTTATGATGATCTTTTCATGTACTTATTCATTCATACATTCATTTACAGCATAAATAAATTTACGTTGTAATTTACATTTACTTAGTTTTTGTCTACTTGGTTACCTTGTACGAATAATGTATGAAGTTTTTACTTATTCACTTACTTATTCTCGTAATATTTAATTCCGTCCATTACCTCCACCTCACCAGCGTATTTCATTTACTTCTGTTGTCAGTTTTTTATCTATACATTTAGCTTGCACGATTAACGTCTATAGTGTTTATTCATTTAAATCTTTCTTCTTGGCAAATGACTTTAAAATAACATTCAATCATTAGTTCAACGTCAGATATCAGGTGGGCAGTGTTCATTCATTTACTTATGTTGCCTTTTCCTATTCATCCTCCTGTGAAATGAAGTCAAAACATCATTAAATAAGTTACCTCAACATCAATATAATTTAAACATAAAATAGGCACACGTTGTTAATTCTGCTTGCATTACTCAGGAGGGTGATAGGGACTATGAAGCTGTTGAGGACGGCGAGGACGAAGACGTTCTGGATGAAGAAGAAGATGATGATAATCCTGCAGACGCAACCACCAACAGCAACGACCTTGAAGGTTTGTAATTCACTTTGTGAACCATAGCAGGAATTTGTTTTCTGTTAATTCCAGAGCATTGTGAGGGGAGCCTTCAGTGCTCCAATACACTTCTTCAACAACACTGCCGGAATTCCGTCGGGTCCTGGCGCTTAATTTGGTGATTAAGCCATCATGAGATTTGTTGAACTGGTTCAAAAACGTTGGTACGAATGTTTGCAGGCAGTGGTAACTGGTAAGTAGTAGTATGCCGTTGGAATTACGTAGTCTGTTATGTTGGTAAGTAAACTTGGAGGTAGTGGTAAGTTATGCGCTTGTATCACACTTTAGTACATCTGTCCACAGTCACGCTGCATTTTTAAGTAATTTTCTAAGGGTTAAATGATAGTGATTCCCTTCAGGCCAAAAATTCCATGCATTGAGCTCATTGTGTGTAGCAGCGCTTTGAATGTAAATTGCTCGGTATTGATGTGTCCCTAGGAAAATTTCTTCTCAAAGGTTTAGGATTTCACCCCCTTTGAATTTTTTTTACAAGTTATGATCATTTGCTAAAAATTAGATCTAACAGGTTATATTTATAGGTGCCTCAAGAGCCCTATAGTTTTGTTATTTGCCTCGTGAAAAGTTTCAAATTGAATAAATAGCTAATTTTGAGACCTGATAAATTGATAATTTCTCTTCCAGAAACGCTGCTATTATCAATTTTTGTTTATTTGTGTTTTACTGACTACATTTATAAAACATTAATGCTTGTCTAACTTTTATTTTAATAGATATGGTGGTCCAAACTTAGCACGAAGGGCAGTTATGGATATAGGGAAACTTAAGTAAATGCACCATGTCAGCAGCCAATTTTGCTCTTTCGAACTTAACTATCAGTTAGCAGTGTTGTTGTTAGGTATTCTGGTACTGCAGAATCTATCAAGGCAGATAACTATCAAACTAAATCATTTGTTCACTGAGGTAGCAAGCGTGTGCCGATTTGTCAGGACGTGATGTAGTTGACAGGTTACCAGTATTGTTATCCTCCCTTGCTGATGGCAGCATCAAGTTCCTTTAATTCACGAAGTTGGATTTTGTGACAGGTGATACAAAAGAGCATAAAGTGTTCATGAACAACTGCAATAATGGCACTGTGAATCTCTTGATGTAGGAATGTGTTGCGACGCCATAACTGCCACTACCAGAAAGTTCAGCGATGCATGTCCTCGCTTGTGCTTGATAAAAAAATTATGCTGATGCTTGCTTTGGTTGCCATGAAGACATTAAATGATATAAGTCCTGCTGTCTTATGCTATAACTATTTCTTATGGGCTTTTGTCAGTTCCCGAAATTTTCATTTTCGAACGTTTTAGGGATGCAGAAAGGATTAAGGGATCTTTCACAGTATGCCACTCTTTCTAAAATAGGTTATATTTCATTGTTTATTCCCCAATGAAACTAACATATATTTCCCCACAGGTGGGGGAGGTCGAGGCAAGAAACGCAAGCATGAAGGGGAGGAAGACCAATAACCTCCCCAGCGCATTCCCCCTCCTCGCTGGAACCCATTTCCCTATCCCATCTTATTTTATTTTGTTTAAAAACATAGTAGCAACATCATGGCGCTGCACTGTTTCTTAAACAGACGTCGCAAGCAGAATCTTTTCATTATTTGTTAAATGGAAAATCCATCGTTTTTTAATAACGATGCAACCACCGATGAAGAACAAGAATAATGCATAGATTTATTTGCTTGCTGGTTCTGTAGCCCCTGTTGAAATTAGGAACTTGTCTGGGTAGATCTTTGCCATGTGTTAAATGACTGCTCTCATTTTTCTGTGTGTAAATGTCTATTTTACCAACGCCCTTCATGTGAGAGAAAAGCAGCACTGGAATAAATATTATTGAAGGCGATATTAGTGGTTATGGCGATGCAAATGTTGCATGGTCATTGATATTTATTGCGAGCCGGATAGGATTTTTCTCTATATTCAAGCAGCAGAGCTGAAATATCTCTAGCCTTTAAGTTAGCGACTTCAGTAGATGTCTTTGTTGAGTTAGAGTTGGCACATGAAGATTCATTTTATGCCTGACTGAGCATTGAATTACTGAATAACATTGAATAAATGAACTCCCATTCTTCGCGTAATGTTTTTCATCTTTCTTTGTTTTCTTTGTATGCTGGCGTTTATGTGCTTGTCAGCATAACTTATCATCATTCTTTATAATGGAATTCTTCTGCCGTGAAGTCTATAAATCTCAGGCTTTCATATTTTGTTATTTTATTATTTTTGTATGTTTTAATGCGTAAAATCCCAATTCCCGAAACTCTGTGGGCAATTTTAGTTTCATTATTTTGTATCTCGGCGAACTAGAGAACTAAAACCTGACCACAACACTACCACTTACCGCCCCAATCAGATCTACTTTAACTACTTAGACTCGACTATAGTAACTACTATTCCTCGAGAACGCTTTTAACTTCCAGTCATAATGCATGCTTCATATTAAATTAAAGACGATACGTTTGTTCATTTTCTAAGCTTTGCAGTATTTTTACGTGTTTCAAATAATTTTTATGTGTCTGATCTCACTCATTCCGCCAGTGTCTTGTGGCATCGCTATCTAAACAATTCGAATTTCGTTAGATTTAAAGTAGGTCTCCGTGTACCCAGATTCTGGTTATAGGGGAAACTGCATTAAATTTTATGGAAGTCATAAGCTTTCATGATTTGGGCTTTGATCAAGCTCGGCATCATGCTAACAGGTTCAACATAACGTAACGAAAACTGGAATAATTCTAGTAAGACATTAATAATGAAAATCGGTAACTTCTGATGAATATTACACGAGTTCAGTGGTTGACAGAATTTTGTTTATTTTTTATTTTTTTTTATTTTTCATTGTTTTTGCTGTGCATCAAGTCCCGAAAATTCTCGACATGAAGAGACTTACTGGTCTTTCTACTTGTCCAGTATCGCCGTGTATGATTAGTATTTTTACTTACAGCTTTTCTTTTAGTTTAAGTTTACTTTTAATATATTAGTTATTCTATGTCATTGCCATTGATAGTGTTCGTTCCGTTTATAATTCAAGATTTTCATTTTCCATTATCACGTTTTTGCTGGTTTCATTAGAGTTTCTCCAAGTTCTTTTCCTTAACTGGCATTTTCTAACTAATTTTCCTCATCGAATGCATTCACGTATTATTGAGTATTCATGCATTTATATATGCCCCCACGAATGATGTTTCTTCATGAATAACTTGTTCTATTATATTGAAAATAGATGCGTTGAAACTACATGGAGGTTTAAGGCGTGTGTTGTCTTTGTTTTTATGTGCTATCTTGCAAATTTCATTTAAAGACAAACTTTTTTTCTTTGTAAATCGTTATTTACATCCCAAAGCTTTGAGGAATTTAGAACTAAGAGTTTCGTCATCCGAAGCGTTCGGGTATTGTCAACTGAACTCAAATTCCTAATCGCATCCTGAGGGAATTGGGGCCAATTTCCAGTGGCATCCTGTGAGGATTGGGCCCATTTCCAGTGGCATCGTGTGAGAATTGGGCCAATTTCCAGTGGCATCCTGTGAGGATTGGGCCCATTTCTAATCGCATCCTGAGCGAATTGGGGCCATTTCCAGTGGCATCCTGTGAGGATTGGGCCCATTTCCAGTGGCATCCTGTGTGGATTGGGCCCATTTCCAATCTTTTTCAGTGAGACTCTAAACTAAGCTGTTGCCCATTCACATTTTGGTTTCGTAAATGAAGATGAATAAATTTGTATGACATTCACTAGACGTATTTTTTTGCGAGAGTACTTATGTTCTCTCTGTATAAGCCACGACATTTGTTACGTTACTTGGATGAAATTTTTCAGACAAAGACCGACACAATTGGCTTGGCGATGACACCATTGTCGATAAAAACGCACTGGTTCCCAACCTAGACGTAACGCTTCTAGTTCCACGAAATATTTTCTAAATTTAATTGTAAAATATTGTTCTAAATCTATTTAATGACGTTCTTGTACTTAATCAATGAGAAACTTGTATTAAATAATAGTATTATTAGATATGATCGGTGGACGACGATGTAAGGTTGGGAACCAGCGCTGCTGTCCTTCCTGTGGCGAGTACAAATTAAGAGAACTCACTCAACAAAATGAATGAGACTTTGTCCAAATACCGATGCATCTTTTGCCCCTTGCTTGGGTCATACTAACGCATTTTAGCCCAGTCAAAAGAACGTATCAGGGCCAAGTCTGCTCTATGCTTGTGCTGTAAGAGTGCGTCAATATTTGGATAATCAGACTCGTTCATTTTTTTGAGTGCTGATCGTTTATGATGGTAGTCGCACTGCTGAACTGACGCTCTGTGTGCTTGTGCCTGTATGCCTGCGCCTGTATGCCTGCGCCTGTTTGTCTGCGCCTGTGTGTCTGCGCCTGTGTGTCTGCGCCTGTGTGTTTGCGCCTGTGTGTCTGCGCCTGTGTGCCTGGGTTTGCCTGTTAAAAGGTTATTTAGGGAAAAAAATTATTTTCGAAAGGTTATTTTAGAACGTAGGCTCAGGTTTTTTTCCGCGACTATCGAAAGCGCCGTCACATTCAGAAAAAGTGAGACAATGTCTAAACAGCGATGAACTTTTTGCATTGGTGTATGTCGTGCTGACCCTGCAAAATTTCGTACCAGTGGCACGTCCTCCTTGTGCTCGTGTTACGGGTTTAATTGAAAGTGTCACTATATGGACAAATGCCCCAGTAATGTTTCTTCGTATGGTAAAGTTTAGGTGAACTGCCGTGAAGCTGAACACCAAATGTAATCGTTTCATGCTTAAAATTTCATTTTTTGCTGTAAGTTTGATTTACTTTGCCTTCAGCTAGAGCTTCAGAACATTAGCTGCATTAGTCCAACAATTTATTTTAGATTTTTGCAATGCAATATTTTTCAGGTTAAAACATTTACTCGATTTAAATTACGATTCACTCAATTTAATTATAAATACCAAAAAGTGATATAGTTCAGTTTCAACAACGTATCTGCACTGCAGCAGAAGCAGTTCACCGCTTTTATGACGAAAAACGATTATCAAGCATTGATGTTTTTGATAAACTTGTATTCAGAACTAGTTCTGCATCTCACTCCAATTTTTGTACTCAAAATTTTTTGCAGTAAAAGAGTTCACGCTAACTTGAAAATTCATAATGTTCGAGTTCAATATTTTTATAAATGTATTCGATGAAATTAGGCTTAGTTTATGGTATGGTGAGCATAAGCTAAGATTGAAAAGCTTTATAAGCTGAACATGAATGGCTAAGGATTGCCGCATATTTAAATGCTTCAGAAATGACGTGATCGTTTTATGTTCAAGTCATCCGAAACTTTAATTCCATTGTAAAAGCAAAAATATTATTGCATCTTCTCCAGGGTATTTTAGAAGATCACACTAGAGCAAAGTGAATAGCTATTTTGACAGAGTCTTGCTCATTTCTCTGAGTGTAGCGTCTTGCGACGTCCGAACAATTGTTGTGGTGGAGTTCACTCCAAATTGACGAGAGTTTCTGTTCAGTTTTCTGGGATTTTAATTTTATAATTTGCTTTGAAGCGCTTCCTTTGTAACGTGTACGCTACTGCTGTTCATCTGTGCACTCACGAAAATGAGTAAGATTTTGTCTAAATAACTGTGCATTTTTTCCTTTGTGTGCATCATCCTGACTCAGTTCTGCTCGGCATTATGCCGTATTAGTGCTACGCGCAGAAGTCCACTATTTGGATAATATGACTTATTTTTCTGGGTGTAACGTGTGCTTCACAAGCTACAGCAAAGAGCCGTGCGGTTAACGTATAGCGGAGGTTACAACAAAATTTTTTGTTCTTCATATCTTGCGTGAAGTTATGATCTGAAACTAATTAGCAGAAGAGATTATGCTGACATTTTCGAAAGGTTGTGGTATAACAGTGCATGCCTAATGACATTGAGGGTTTTATATTAAGATTGAGGTCTATTTTTGAATTTTTAATTTCGTTTATTTGTACTCGGAGAAAAAAGTTTAGCTGACGGTCTTATAAACGAACTCTAGTTTGCAGTCCACTGGTAATTTGATAAACTTTTCATTTTTTTCTGTTTTACCGGTAAATGGTTAATAGTGAAAAGTCTTTCAAACTTCTGTTTTTGTACGTATTTTATTCTGCTTTAGATTGAGATAAATTTGGCAACGCGTTGTTGCTTTTCCAAGTCTTATTTGGCTGTCGGTTCTCGATGGCACTAGCCTGTGGACATATATTTTTCATTGGAAACGGTGGACTTTAAAATTTAAATTAAAGTGTTCCCTCAGGTTTCGCTTCTTTCCTCACCTGTGTTTTAGTCCTGATCATAATGTATTCCAATTCGATTTAATTTCTGTTTTCGTTAGCGCTTTGAGCTCGCCAAAAAACTTTCAAGCTAACGAATTAGTTACGTTCTTTTTGATACCGTTCGTAAAAATTCATGAAGTTTGGTGTTAATGCTATGCTTTATTTTATATGTCTTTTTTTAACGTCTTAGTTTCCTTATCCGCACGCATTTCACAATATTATTATAACTTTTTTTTTTTTGACTCGCCATTTAGGCTTTTTGGTCTAAGTGTTTGGGCTTTTGGTCTAATTTTTGTTGATAACGCTGAAGCTATGATGAAATTCTTAGCATTCATACGTTTTCTCCGAAATTTTATTGTTCGTACATTCAGTGGATTGCATCACTGAATCAACCACGCATTGCCTGCCTTTATTTCATCTTTTTTATGTTATCGACTTGTCGCCTTTTCACTAATTTTACTGAAAACCAGAAGTGTGTTGCATGGATTATATTTTTTATATTTCTTTCATTACATCACGTAAAAATATCTCGAAGGAATAACATGTGAGTTTGTTCATGAGGACGTGGATGCCGTGAGTGTGTATCATCGTGTCTATGTCAGAGCGCTCGACTACAATGGTAGGTTAAGGTTTGTAAAATATAGCCCATTCGACTGATTCGTTCGTTTATATTTACCTTCCTAATAATTAATAAATATTTATTCTTATTCAATTATTTCTAATGCATTCACACGTTGAAACTCCAATCAGTGTCCATGCGTTCTCTAAACGTATGCACAGGGCGCGGGGATGTTGAAAATTGTTCGTTAACGATTTGGTGTCCATTTATTGTGGATGATCTGCTCAGAGGGCGTTTATTTTAAGATGAGTTACAGTGAAGCGTTCGTGTATTAAATAGAAACATTTAAAATAGCATAATTTGGCAAACATTACAGTTTGGGAAAACTAATAACGAACAAAGAGTGATGATCCCGCGATAAAGCGCGTTCTCATCGATACATGTAACGTCAAAAATGGTCGGCTTGCAGTCTGCCTGTGCGATTCCAAGAGCAGAACAAGAGGTGGACTAGTTACCGGTTCTGCTTAGGATGAGCTTGAAAATTGGGAGGTAATGGAGGCCTAATCTCACATTCTGACCAATTGATATTTATCTGACGGGGTTTTTCGTTAGGCCCTTTCTTTGCGAGAGCTGTTACGATCACCAATCACATGAAGGCTTCAATAAGTCAAAATTGTAACAAAACAGAAGTTATTACTCATCCTAACTCATTTACATGAGCTTCATCAACCGCTGTAAATGCTTATTATATCAATGATCAGGTAACCTGAATTACCATCATTAGGCAGAAGGTTATAGACACCTTCAACTTGACCGGAAAACCCCCAAGTTATAACAGATTATTTCCGTTCACTCTTATAACAACTCGACGGCATTTAACAGCGTAGCCGCAGTTACAATTACACGTAACAAATTACTGCAGTAATTCTACTGTGCTATTTTGCTCCACGCTCCACTTGGGGGTTAAACCTGGCGTTTAAAACCGCAGCGTCTGCGTACCTCTTGACCCCGATATTAGTTAACTTGACCCCGATATTAGGTAACGGTCACGCGGGGGTGGAGGGGGCGACCGCCAAACCCGGCGTCTGCGGTTGTACGGCACAGCGTTTCCGCTTTCCAGCACTCGCGATATATCATATTCTAAACGCTTAAATCTTCCAGCACTCGCGATAATTTGTATCCTAAACGCGTAAACTTTCCAGCACTCGCAATACTTTGTATCCTAAACGCGTAAACTTTCCAGCACTCGCAATACTTTGTATTCTAACGCGTAAATCTTCCAACACTCGCGATACTTCGTATCGTACACGTGTAAATCTTCCAGCAATCGCAGTACTTTGATACCGGAACGCGCTCAAGCTTTTCAGCTCTCGAATAATTTTTTTGTTTCAATATTACACGAATAATTAAATATTAAAAAAAGTCCTTGTGACCTAATATTTTCATGCAATTAATATCTCCATGTCGTTATATCCTCTCGATATGCAAACTCTGTCGTGCAGTTTATTGCAGCATAGTTCTTAATTAATTACAAAGCGTAGCAACAAAATACAGCAATCGTCGGATTTTTGGACCGCAATTTATTCGATGCTAAAAATTCCTGTAATCTAAATACATTGCATAGAAAAATCATAGCACAAAGTTCTGCAAGCTCTTTTTTATTGTCAAAAAAGCCAGTCAAAGAAATTAACATGGAAATAAAAGCTAAAATGTTCATTCACTTCATCCCTGCAACCGTTAAAAACAAACGATCACCAATGACGAGAAAAATGCCCTAAGTCTTATTTGAATCATTAATGCCAGTCAAATAATGCCAGTATTAATCTGCATTATTATTAATCAGTATTATTATTATTATTATTATTAATTAAATAATGCCAGTAGTAATAACCATTATTTCAAAAATGATTTTCGGTGCATTTCTTTTAAATAAGTTTAATATTAGTTATTAAATAACATTTAAAAACGAATAATGTTGATGCAGAAAAGCTAAAGGTTTTGGGCTCACGCCCCGAAGCTAACGATTAATGCCATTTAACAAAATTAGCAGGTTTAAAAATTTGCGTACTTAGGAAGATTACAATGAGACTAAAGTTGCCGACTTTTAGCCGGTGAGTGTCGATTTCGAATTGAATTCCGTGTAAACGAAACGTCAAATAAATTCCATAATTCGAAGCCAAATATCAAGGCAATTTTTTTAGATATAATCCGAGAATTATCAGTCACACCAAATGAGCATATGAATGGAAAATAATTCATTATTCAGAGGAGTTATAGTCTCAGAACAGTTGAGCAAGTTATAGTTTTAATTATGAGTGATTTACTTATTCAATCATTCAAATAATTCACCAAAAACCATCAATGACGAACAATAATCGGTCAATACAATAGACAAACAATCCTCATTATAAGAAATTAAAAAAAACATGTAATCATTCAATAACGAGTGATGAATTATACATAACATACGTCGAATTATTTGATACAAAGCTGTTATTTTTCAAAGTCAGTTCACAATTTCACAATAACTGAGAAAAAAATAAACGATGAGTTTAGGCCAAATAGCCAAGTGAAAAATTGACACCAACGTTTCCCACGATTAATATATGTCATAAAATACATTTCGATTACCTGGACTCAGATAAATGTATGGCTCATATTGTCCAAATAATGACACTCTCTCATCCCTACACGAACAGACATTGCACTGATGCGGGTCAATCGGGTACCAGTAAAAAGTGCATCGTAGTTTGGAAAATGCCCCTCTTATTTCTCTGAATGTGACTTCATTATATTCACAATCATTCAAAGCATCCCATGTCGGATTGCCGTCACCATGTTAAAAATATTATTTAGAATTTAATGATTGTTAATGCACAAATTATTATCATAGCATTAACATCAAAATAAAAATATAAAAAAAATTGCTTCAACAATACACAAAAAATCACAATGTTTTCACTCATGCTAGCCCCTGTGAGCTCATCGAAATAATTACCGTTAGAAAAAGTTATTCTATTCGCCTATCATTTAATGGTTAACCAATCAGCCGTTATTCTAATTATACTATTCAAACAACCCAAGAACAGGAATTTTCCATTTAAGCGATCCCTTGTACACAGGAGATTCCCATTCCGCAGTTTCGTTCACAACTTTACTTGCGTCTTCAGTGCCGTCCGTTCGAATTTTAGATCCAAAATCGCCTTCGGGAACGACATGTTCTTGAAAGTGAATATGATAATCTTCGCGTTTTTCGTTGTTATTTTTCGCGGAATGAAATGAAAAATTTTCAATTTCGTTCGAAGGTTTTTTATAATATTCAGTTTTTTCACCGAAATCATTCATGTTCGGCCTGACAGGTGTTTCCAGACGTATGACACTGCTGGACCAGATTCGGTTTTGTCGATCAGCATTTCCAGGGCGAAGAGAATCTCCATGTTTCGGTACAGAGCCGACGTTCTTGCTAGATTCTCCGAAATCAACAGTGAAAGGCCGATACGTTGTGAAAATTTCTTCTTCGTCGTTGATTATTGAATTGAATTCCTTTGGTTCAGTATCTTTCAATTCTTCCACGGCGTTTTGAGTCCTGTCATCAACATCCGAAGTCCTGCTTGATTTATATTCTTCCGCATTCTCTGAATTGAACGAATTCATAAGCCCGCGGTAGTTTTGCTGCTGGGATGCTCTATTAACTGCTGATGCAAAACTAGCTAAGCTCTGGGACCGTTGAACTAAGCTTTCAACAGGTGTGGTGATTTCATTTTCACCGCGAGCTTTTTTCCGTTGAGCTTTTTCTTGTTGTATGAGACTGTCCAGTATACTTTGGGGAATGGCAGAAGATCCGTTAGAGTTACCAGGATTTATAACGGAATTTAGGATACCAATGTTATAATTACCTGATACGACGTTGCTGGTTACACTTTCTGAATTAGAAGCAGCTTCAATTAAAGGTAGAATGGAACCAGGGTATGTTACTGGGGGATGAACTTGTGGGATGTTTTCGTCTGGTGTGGGGACCGAACTCTGGGCAGAAGGTGGGGAAGGGGGGAAACTTACATAAGATGGAGGTGGAGGCAGAGGCTCTGGGGTTATGAATGATAAATTATTGTAGCCATCTTGTGATCCAGCCGATGACTGGTCGTCTTCTTTGATTGGAGGATAAACGGGAAGGGCGCTGAAGTCAATCTATGCGGAAAACATAAATTCAAAGGCATGAATCGTTTGGATCAAAAATTATTTTTTTTAATCTGTTATTTATATTACTTCATCGTTATATGAGCTGAATAAGTATTTGATAATATGAATATAAAATGAAACGATGAATCATATAAAAACAATAAATATTATATATCACCATAAAAATGTAATGGCTTATATTCTGCATGCAGGTATCGTAAAAGAAGAGATGAAAAATGATTGCATATATCGTTGGAATTCGCTACTTGGGTCTCTGGACTCCTATAGTCTAATTTCCCTTTACTGTGTTAACTTATATATACTGTTACTGTTATATAAGATATACATTTATAAGGTACATTGATGAATCAAAGGCCAGAGTAAAAATATTTTTTATTGGAATTATTATTCAGTGAAAATGTCTCCCGTAATGTTTGAAAGTAAATATATCCACTTAAGTTCATTCTGAGTTACTTTGGACGCAACTAATAATTTCAATGCGTCGAAGAATTTTGTGATCTTCTGACGATGAAAAAGAGACCTTATTACATGCAATATACAATGATAATTCAGGTAAATTTTGATGAAACAATTAAATATACAATTATGTGATCGGTAATTCAATAGCAAAGGTAACATGCAACAATCATTCAGTTAGTTATTTTAACAATGCAGTTAATTATGCAGTAGTGTAATCAATAAAGTGAGATTACAGGTAACATATACAACACTAATTCAGTTAATTTTTAATGATACAGTTAATTATTCAATTATATAATAAATAATATAATAATACATGTAATTATGTCATACGGCGCTCGTTGCACCCACAAATTATGCAGGAGGATAACACTTAATTCTGACCTCTCCTCCTTCAGGCAGGACTCTGTACCCCAACCGGTCGCTGACGAAGCGGGTGACGTGGTGCTGGCCCGTTTCGTCCAGCCAGCCGTACCCTCCGAAAACTACACCGTCAGTCCTCCGCTCCTCGTGCCGCCATTGGTACTGATCACCGTAGCCAAACTTGAAGGACCCTAGGATGGGTGGAAATTTAACTGGTAGCATCCTTGAATGGAATTGGTAGGATCCTTGGAAGAGGGAAATGAACTGGTAGAATCTTATCACGGGTTAAAATTAAACTATTAGGGTAAAAAGTTTTACCCTAGGAAGGGTCAAACTTGAAATAAGATCTTACGACGGGTACAAATAAATTTGTAACGAAGTAATCAGTAGGTACTCACCTGTTAGAGGATCCTGTTCCGAATATTGGTATGGCTGCACATTAGCCCAACCCGGATACTTCTGCCCATACGGTTTCTCTTTTCCCCCTGGTTGGTTATATCCGAAATATGTTCCCGAACTTTGCTGTCCATGCACAGTCGTTGGGGAATAGTTGGACCGAGAACCAGATGATAGTTGCTTGTTCTGGTTAGCCGGAGAGCTGGATCTTTGTTCGACGTCAGGGAAGTTTTTCAAATTCGGTTTGCTCTTGGCTGTTGCTGGATGATCCAGCTTTTGAATTTCAAAATCAATTGAGGAATGGCCATCGTCCAGCGAATTGGTATCATCGAGTCTCGGTCTAGGGCTGAGATTTTCGGACATTTTTTGTTCTGTTCCTTCTAATTTAATAATTTCTGAAGGTTCTGCATTTCCGATTCGATTGACGGCTGCAATTTGATTTTCAATTCGATCAAATTTCATCGAACTTTGAACGAGATTTTCTCGATATCTTTGAGTCCCTCCTTTGGCAGTTTCAGGCAGGACGAAGCCGAATTCGTGAGCATCCACATTTTCATTACTGGTATCTAAGGGTTCTTTTAGCTTCGATCCCTTCAACCTCAATTTGGGAGGAACTATTTTCAGGTATATAACATTATGCTCGTTCTCCACCGCAGGATCCATGGGGTAATCTGGCATTAAAAGGATTTTATCACTCCTGCTGTCTAAAACGTTGTCAAAACTTTTCCCAGTATCCATCGAGTCGTGCGCGTCCGTAATAATAACGTTACTTTCCTCGTCATTTTCAATCAACTTCTGCAAATCTTTTGAATCACCGAGCAAAAAATGTTGGTACACGGTTCTTTCACCTGCCGAATTTGTTGGCGTGGACGACGGCAAATGAGCGTCAATTTTGCCCCGAATTTCGTTGCTAGTTACTATTGTATTCTCATCAGACTTTTCATTTGAGCTTTCATTGTCTTCATAATCATTGTCGTTGACAGCCATTGTGTGATTTGACAATGAAGGGCCCAAGTTAAAAGTAGAACTGACTATAATATCTGGGTAATTCATATCTTCGCCTTCCATCTCATCCGATTCGTTGAACAATTTTTCAACCATCTCACTTTCACTTTTGAAACTCGGATTGATTTCCGTCTCTTCCTTTGATTTTAACGATGAATTATTTTCGTATTGGTTTTCCATTCTGGTGCCATACATAGTTTGCACAGGCACTCTGTTCATGGATGATTTACGTCTATGAGATGAAACTCTGTTCAAATGATAGGCGAAATTCGATAGGTTATCGCCATTCGAAACGCTAGAGGAGGGGCTGGTCTCGAAGCGTACTGGTGGTGCAGTTCGCCTCGATTTCCAGTGATGTAATAAATACGGACTTGAATACAACGGATTCCGGGAATTGTACCCTAAATTATGCGCGAATTGTCGCCTGATGGGATAACTGTTCGAAGCCATGGACACAAAATTCGGAGATCTGATATTTCCACGTGCATTGGAAGCCGAGGAAACCTGATATTGAGTGGCTGAATTTTCATTTTTTGATGTCGGCAATAACCGGCCGCTCCAATCCAGGCCCCATCCTTCCCCAAAATTTCCCCCAAATCGAGAAGTTCGATCTCGAATTGAGCCCAGTTCACTCACAGCCGCCTGCCTGCGAAAAGAAAACATAAAAATATTGAGTTAATTATTGAAAAATTATTATGATTATCTAGATAATTTCCAATTTATATAGCATTAGTTAATTAATTATCGAGATTTGCATGCAGCAATGCAAATAAATCAGAAGAGTAAATGTGATTTATATACCGGGAACAAAAGAAGGTTATATGTTGAAAAATATAAAAATGATTAAATTAATGCGTCAGCATTCATTGAATGTAAATATTTTGGTCGACGAAGTCAAAGACTGTAGTAGGTTTCGATATTTACAACACTCTGCATTCATTCACTTTCTACTTACTTTGTTATTGTATATAGTTACATGTTACATTAAATATTCATTATATATAATCATTAATTTTGTAGACATTATTTTTCCGTTGTTTATGGTTATACACCATGTATAAAAAAATATAGGCTTGCAAGAATCCATTTCAGTCAAAAAAGTCATGAAATTTAAAAACTTTTAGCAATATCAGAGTTTAGACGCAATTTTACTATCACATAGTGCATATATACTATAATTTTACGATCACTTTATTTAGTAATTTTACTATCACCGCAGCGCTCTAATTTCGGAATCTTTTCCACGTTAATTCTAAATACATTTAAGTGAAGGAAATTTTACCTTCTAAATACAGGAACTGAACTTGCAGATCGCAGAATACATATCAAGAGGAGGAGTGAGGTCGACATCTTGGCAGCGCCACGACAGCTTTATCGTTACGATGCGTGGAACTGCTGGGGAAAATTAGATCAAGTTATTAAATGTTAAATATAGAAGCAAACAATAATTCAAAGTTATAAAATCTTAAATTCAGAAGTAAATAAGAATTCAAAGTTATTAAATCATAAATCTAAAAGAAAACGATAATTCAATCTTGTTAGATCTCAAACCTAAAGGGAAACAATAATTAAAACTTGTTAAATCTTAAATCTAAAGGGAAACAATAATTCAAAGTTATTAAATCTTAAATTCAGAAGTAAATAAGAATTCAAAGTTATTAAATCTTAAATTCAGAAGTATATAAGAATTCAAAGTTATTAAATGTTAAATCTAAAAGAAAACGATAATTCAATCTTGTTAAATCTCAAATCTAAAGGGAAAAAATAATTAAAACTTGTTAAATCTCCAATCTAAAGGGAACCAATAATTCAAAGTTAATCAATCTTAAATCTAAACGCAAACAATAATTCAAAGTTTTTAAATCTTAAATCTAAAGGGAAACAATGACTTAAATTTATTAAATCTCATTTGTAAAGGGAAACAATAATTCAAATCAATTCCTGAAAAACCAACTCGGTGAACAATATAACAGCAATATAATTCCTATAGAAGCCAAAAAGGATTTCAAATGAGAAATTCTGTTGAGTACCAGAATTTCTTTCCGTCACAGATCGTTAATACTGGATCGTGGTAATTTTTATTAGATCGTTGATTTTAGATCATGGTCATTTTACAACACTTCTCTTTAACTTCACTTATTGTTTGTTTGTTTGTCTGTCTGCTACAAATCTTCTAATCGATATTTGACACACTTCTATCTGTCCAATCGATCTGAAATTTTTGCACACTTGCATACAGTCGGAGACAATGCATGTATCAATTGACAAAATAAATACTTTTGAAAAAATCAATTTTTTAATTATCAAAATAAAATTAAAAATTAATTTTTTAATATTTGATAATAAAATTAGAAATTCATTGTACATGTGTAACATCGGAGACACTTGGACTCTTTAGAAGTGTTGTCTTTAAAAAGTAATTTTTAACGCATATTATTTATTAGAACGTTGATATTGGATCGTGGCATTTTTTACTTAATACAAGTAAGAAATTTACCTAATGAAAAATCCCCGCAATGAAATTGATCGTTCTGGATATGCAGCAACGAAGTTTTGTTCGAAAAGTCTTTCGTTCTTAACGGAAATTTTTCAAATTTCAGAAATCAGCAGCAATTGAAGCCCTAAAATCGTTTTCACTCAAATTAATAAGCGTCAACGATGAATTTATTCATGAATTACGTACACCGGAGCAAACTCCGTACATTCCGTTAAGTCCGAGTTGCAAAGACAACTGCTACGTCAATAATATTGCTTCAAGATTATAATTTTATTACAACTTTTTTGCACCCGTTTGTGCTTACTTTAATAAAACATAATAAAGACTAAAAAAAATAGATTTTCAGATGCTATTTAGCAGCACACTTAACTTATAGTTTTCATATTTTAATACGCTATTACTATACTTTATTACTAAACACCACTTGCTTAGTAATATCCTATCCTTGTAATATCCTTGCTTAGTGATATCCTTAGTAATAAGAAACAAGGAATAAATATGCCTTGTTTCTTTCGTTAAATTTCGTTTCTCCTCTTGCAACGAGTAGATTATCATTAAAATAATTATCAATTATTTTCTATTGAAATTATCAATTATTATCTTTAAACCCGTAGATTATACTCTAAATTAATTTATATGAGTGTAATATTTACACCAAATAATACATTAATACATTAACACTAATTAGTATAAGTGTAAATAGTAATGATTAATTAATAAGATTAACGTGAGCGCACAACCGCCTCAAGACATCAGCTTCATGCAGCAGGAAACGGCGGAGCTGAGCGCGCAGTGGCGGATGCTGCACTCACAGAAATTTGTGAGACTTTAATCAAATAGCGATGCATTTTTAGCGCATTTTCTCATTTATGGCAAAAATGCCCTATTGTGCTCGTCATGTCCGTCCGTCCATCTGTCTGTCCGTCCGTGATTTCACGTTTTCGTCGACAAGAAAATGCGCCCTCTGTCACTCACTGCATTGAGTACTGAGTTATATTTTTTGCCTTGTGTGAGTCATCCTGACCCATGTTGGCCCTGTAAATGTGTGTATCAGTCCGCTCTCAGTTTGCGTAGCAGCCAAAAAAGTGCGTCACTATTTAGACAACATGACCCATTCATTCCTCTGAGTGTACATGTCGCTCCGACGCGGACCAGCGAAGCTCAGACTTCAGGGCAACGCTCCCGCTGCTCAAGCCGTGAGCAGTGATTATGAGTGTGGTGAGCGCAGCTGCTCAAGCCGTGAGCAGTGATTATGAGCGCAGTGAGCGCAGCTGCTCAAGCTGTGAGCAGCCGTGAGTTTCATTATAAATCTACATTCATTTCTCAAGTCACTTTTCTTGAACGGTTTGCTGTAAAAATTTCATGCAGCGGACTAAAGTTATGCTCTCTATAGTGATTCTTTAATTGAAAACAAGTTTTTCATTTCACGATTTGTCCTCTTCATTTACGTCTGAAATAACTAAACAATTAAATGACTAGAATTAATTGAAATTAAAATGAAATGATATTAAAATTAAATGACATTAAAGTTAAATTACATTAAAATTAAGCGACATTAAAATTAAATGATATTAAAATTAAATGCCATTGCATCTAAAATGTTACCGACATTTTCTGATTAATTTTAGTTTTAAGCACGGCCATGGGAAAAAGAAAACACATGAAAAATTTATGGAAATAATACTTCAATGCTTGTGAGGAATTTTTTTAAAATACCGGAAAATTGAGACATCGACTGAACAGTTACAGTCAATATTTCGAAGCATTGAACATCAAAACATGAAAATGTTCTCGGATCAATGCAAGTTTAGTTCGTAATTCATCATGAGATGTAACAGCCCCAGGCCACGCTCGAGTGCTGCTATAGGAGAACAGGTGTTCTTGCCACATGATTGAGCAGAGGCAGCAATCAAAGCCGTTAATCTAACTGCAGTGTTGATCGATGATATGGGATTTTAAACTTGAATTAGCACAATTATAACGCTTGCAATAGATATTTAAATTCTTACACTGAAGTAACATTCGACTCTGGGAAAAAAGTTTCAAGACAATGTCGAGGTTAGTATTTTGATATATAGGGTGTAGTCTGATTGCTGCTATTGTGAACTTGATTTGAATTTATTGCACCACAACCTCGTGTACGCAGTAAAATATAGCATTGAAATGTAGTTATATAATAATTTAAACTTTTCCACTGCTTCTCAGATATCGGAATAATAATCCAAATTATTTATCACACTCCTGCACAAATGCATCTTATTTATTTAATAAAAGTTTTCTAGTAAATTCAATGCTAAAACTAATAGTTTTACTCTCTCTCTTTTTATCAGATAAGAATAGTACACGAATCTATGCATATGCTTTATAATGCAAGTTCACATTTAAAGCTGAAAAAGACCCAAGAACTTTCGCTATCGAGATTAAGCGCGGCATTTCAGCTTGTTTAGTCATAAGCGAAATATTAATTGTTATTTATACGTCTTTGCATCAAATCCTTCGTAAAAAACGGCAGGTGCAGTTAGCCAACAATTTTATTCAGAAGATTATTAAGATCAATTTTATTTGAATATCTCGCTGACATGATCAAGATGATTGACATTATTTGATTTTAAAACTTCTGTTGTCTTTTATTATACTCACTGATTCACGCTAACCATGATTATCCTAAAATAATCTTTCCATTGAACCATTCCCAATTACTCAACGAGATTTTTTTTTCTGCGGAAACTGCGGAAAGTTTTCCATTCATAGATCAAGAAACATCATTTCTGGTGCTTCTTCAGCCCCATTCATGTGTGTAGTGAAATACAGCGATGAATGAGAAATATATGAATGAGAATGGATGAATGAGAATAAATGAATGAGAATAAGCACTACAATGAAGGTCGCGCGGTCGAGAAACTAGTATGACTATTTGTGCTGAGTCATTCTTTGTGTGCTTACTGTGTTTGAGTTTTTGCTATTGTGAAAGGTCACACCAGTCGTGCTGCCAGAGGTCACACCAGTCATGCTTCCAGAGGTCACACCAGTCATGCTGCCAGAGGTCACACCAGTCATGCTGCCAGAGGTCACACCAGTCATGCTTCCAGAGGTCACACCAGTCATGCTGCCAGAGGTCACACCAGTCATGCTGCCAGAGGTCACACCA